AATTTACCAATCCGTTCCCACTCGGACGGATCCCCTGCAATAGACATCCAATTGTTGCCACCGCCGCAATGTTTTCGTACAGTCGCTGCAAGATCGTCGGCCCACCTCTGCTTGGGTCTTCCGGTTGACCTCTGTGACGGCCACGGCTGCGTAGTAGGATCCCACTGGAGGACAGCATTGCTCAATTTGTGTCGGTCCTTGATGACAACTTGCTGTGCCAAGTCCCACTTGTACCGACGTCGCATTGTCACCCAATCCTGGTACCCCATAGCTTCCATCTGCTGCATGGCGTAACGTGTAGCTCGCCGTACCCATTCGTGCCAGGGCTCAAGATCGCCGGAGGTGCCGCTAGAGCTGGATGATAAGCTCGATACCATGTCGTCGATATCTGTGGTGGAATCGTGCCCTCTCCTTTGACCGTCTCCTCTCTCAGACACACTACCATCATCTTGCTCACGGCGTTGTTCCTCCGAGCTGGCGTAGCTGCGCTCAGCCGTAGTCGGAGCCACCGACGGGTGCGACTATTTTGGAGAGGCGCTCAACTTTGCATGGGCGCCCAAGAGCAACCAACCACTCCCAGTGCCGCAGTGCGCAACGGGTTGGGAACGGTTTGTCTACAGCCCTGGCTTCCCCGTCCCGGCCGTTGGGGGAAGGGCGCTTGCAGTGGACAAAAAACGCCTCCGCACCTCCCACGACGCGGCCTCAATCGCGCTCCCATCCTGTGCCGCGTACCGTGGACGAGTGGCAGATCCGTGCTGCTGTTCCTGGCTCCGCCGCGCATGATTCGGGCCCTGTCTAATTCATCGCCTCCAAGAACCCGCGCACCTCGACGGGGCGCGCCCTTTCGTCGCCTGGGCCAGGGTGGCCTCGGCGCTTTCGCTTCAGCTGCGAGGTGCTACAAAATCCCAAATCGCAGAATCAGTCCCTGTGCTTCAGATGAAACCGACTGCACCGCCCCAGAAACGCAAAAGGGCTGTGCTTCCATGCGAAGAGGTGTGCCAGCCAACGCGCCGAATGCGCTCTTCCGACGACGCTGGCCGAACCACCTCGCAAATGTCGAAGGCAGTTTCTATCTACCAGGCAGACCTTCTACCTCCTCGCCACATCGGTTTCGATGCTCGGTGTGAGCACTCGCGAATCGCCGAACATCTGCTTGAGGAACTCGCCACACCGCGCCGCGGATCCTCAGCGGTCTCCGAACACGCGGGAACTCCCGACGCCGCGCAATCAGAGATCCGTCCAACCTCGAGCTCGCCGCTCCGCCAGGTCTGTGCTGCCCGGTTGTCGCGTCTGGGGGGCTCCGCCCGCGCCAGTCAGATCAGGCAGCGCCTCCCGCCGCGCGGAGAAGACGCCTCTGCCCCAGGGGGCGCGCACAGGAAGGAGTAAGATGATGGCGGCGATGGTGGCGGGTGATGAGGATTCTGGTGGTAATGCCCCGTCGGAAACATTGCCCGCCGCTGAATCTAGACGACCCACTTCTTTCAAAAGGATGCCATCCGCTTGCTGCAACGGTGGGGTGGCGCGGCGCTAACCAATGTAGGATTGAGCATACGAGCCCAAATCTGCCTGCTGGCCTACAACAATAACAACGACTGCACCTCAGAGTTAAAACCAGTGCGTTTCCCAGCGTGGACCCCGAAACTTGAATTCTTACACCCTGGATGTGGAATGCGTGAGGCGATATCTAAGTGTTCCACGATCTGTGGTCCAATCTATGTGCTGCGATCCACGTGGTGCAACGTATGTGATATGTTCCCATACTTGGCCGCGACACGCATTTCCTTGAACACACACACACACACAAGAAACGCTCTCTAGATGGTCCCAAGCCGACGCCGATACGCAATGACTGCGGGATGTGCATCCCGCCCACTGTGCAATCAAACTCAGCAAAATAGCCCTCCCTCTTTTGCATGCGTTGGATACTTTATTTCCTGAGCTAAAACTGTATTCTATAAAAAGACATCAAGAGGGGCGGGATGCCGACCAAACCACGCAAGACGAGTATCTTGCTAGATTTCTTTGGGGGTAAAACGGGGGTTCAATGCCTCCCCCCGTCCCCTTCAGAACTGCTGTCGCGGTGCGCTCGTGTTTATTAGCAACATGTGCAATCGGGCGCACTCGCAATAATCCAAGGACATTCCGGCATGGCGATGATGTGTATCCATATACATATACACATCTATATAGATACACATATATATACATACATACATACATACATACATACATACGTACGTACGTACATACATACATACATACATACATACATACATACATACATACATGAACCACGCGCGCTTCGCGCGCGCTTAATTTTGGTTCTAGCGTGTCACAGACACAAGAATCGGTTTCGGGGCCTGCTTTGGTGTTGTTTCGGGTCTCTGGGGGGCCTCTTGGGGCTTCTTGGGCGCTTCTTGGGGCCTTTTGGGGTCTCCTGGGGGCCTCTTGGGTCAAAATGTTCGAATCTTCAGCTCCTCGTCCCCGTCTCGGGCGCCGCCTTGGCCCCCTCGTTGCCGTCTTGGGGCCCTCTTGGGGGTATCCTCGACCGTCTTGGGTGCCTCTTGGGCCGTCTTGGACGCAATGGACGCCTCAAAAGCGAACACGCCAAAAATATCAGCTTTCCAATAGAAAATCTACGATTGTTGATAATTAGAGGCTCTATTGGGGTGCCTCTTGGGGCGTCTTTGGGGGCCTCTTTTGGTGTTGTTTCGGGTCTCATGGGGGCCTCTTGGGGCTTCCTGGCCCCTTCTTGGAGCGTCTTTGGGCCTCCTGGGAGTCTCTTGGGCCAAAGGCGCGAACTTCCGGTTCCTCGTCCCCGTCTTGGGCGCCGCCTTGGGGCGTTCTTGGGCGATTTGGGCGCCTCGTGGGCCGTCTTGGCCCCCTCATTGCCGTCTTGGGGCCCTCTTAGGGGCATCCTCGACCGGCTTGGGTGCCTCTTGGGCCGTCTTAGACGCAGTGGACGCCCAAAAGGCAAACACGCCAAAAATATCAGCTTCCCAAAAGGAAATCATCGATGTTTGCCTATTGGGCGTCTCTCGGGGGTGCCTCTTGGGGCGTCTTTGGGGGCTCTTTTGATGTTTTTTCGGGTCTCATGGGGGCCTCTTGGGGCTTCTGGGCCCCTTCTTGGACCCTCTTGGGGCCTCCTGGGGGTTTCTTGGGTCAAAAGGCGAGAGTTTCCGGTTCCTCGTCCCTGTCTTGGGCGCCGCCTTGGGGCGCTCTTGGGCGGTTTGGGCGCCTCGTGGGCCGTCTTGGCCCCTTCGTGGGCCGTCTTGGGGCCCTCTTGGGGGCATCCTCGACCGGCTTGGGTGCCTCTTGGGCCGTCTTGGACGCAATGGACGAACACCCCAAAAATATCAGTTTCCCAATCGGAAATCGACGATTGTTGCTTATTGGGCCTCTTTCGGGGTGCCTCTTGGGGCGTCTTCGGGGCCTTCGGGGGCCTTCTTGGCCTCATGGGAGTCGTCTTGAAAGGCGTCTGGAGCCATCGCTGCGGCCTCCTGGGGCCTCCCTGCAGCCTCTTGGAGCCCTGTTGGCCCCGGGTCGCCGAAACCCCGTAAAAACACAAGGAACATGACGCCCGGGCCCCACATTTGCGGTCGGGGCGCCGGCCCCCGGCCCCCGGACCCGGTCCCCCGTTATACGTATACACGCAAGAACCACGCGAACTGAGGTTCTAACTCAATACATGCCAACGTCTCGACACAATGAGATCGTATCGCTATGCCTGTCTTGCAACTGCGTCTAGTCGTTTGGGGTGTGACTCGCACTCCTCCCGTGACTCGCCCTCCCAATCTCTGCTCCGTCTCCTCTCCTCTCTACGTCCTCCTCTCTCTGGCTCCTCTCTTCCATCCGCTGTCCCTCCCTTCTCGCTCTTCTCTCATGCCTTACGCGTCCTTGCCCTTGCTATTCTCTCTCTCTCTCTCTCTGTCTGTCTGTCTGTCTGTCTGTCTGTCTGTCTCTCTCTCTCTCTCTCTCTCACACCCCCCGTCCGCCCACTTGGAAGAGGAAGGAGGGAGGATTCACGCTGGCGGCGGAGGCGATTGCTCGAACAACTGACTTCAGGCATCTTTGGGGAGGGCAACAGCTGGCCTCGGGCCCAGGGTGCCATCGGCGTAGGCGCACTGGACTCCTGAGTGGGTCTCTTGGCCACGAACCTTCCCGGAAGCACAATGCGTCGAATGGCGATGTCCGCTGTCGCTACGGCCGCTCGGCCTGCAAAGCCAGTTCTCAAGCGCCGCGCCTACAGGGGGGATCAGAAGAAACCAAAGAATCGCGTGGCGCGACCTCGGCCACGAGTTGGCCCGTGCGGACCAATTTACCTTCCGCGTTCGATGCTGTGTTTTCGAACGGGCGCTGAGTAACACTTTTAGCCGTGTGAAAAGGAGCCTACCAAACCTACAGCGCAGATTCGCCTCTCGCTGCTGCGCCAAAAGAAACACCCGCATAATGTGAAGCTCGCCATCGACGAGGCTCACCTTTTTCGCTGGACAAGAAGGAAGAGATGCCCAGCGGGAGAGAACTATGGACTTAGAACAGCGCGGATGCGAGGCGCCTTCCAGAGTGTACCCGCCCGCGAGATACAGAAGGCCATGTCGTGGAGCGAGGCGTCACCAACATGTTTCTGACAACAACAAAAAACACTTCCTCCATCCCTCCATCCTCCTCCCTCCTTCCCTCCTCCTGCCTCTTCACCCTTGTCCGCTTCCCTCTCCCTCCCTGGAACGTCCTTGGAGGCCCCTGGAAGTCTCCAGACATCTCTGGAAGCAATGGTCAAAACCGCCAGGAAACATAGTTCTTCCTCTGTTCCCCCGTTGTGGCATGAAGGAAAAGGGCTTTTCTTGGGGACCTGATTTTCATCCTGGTCGCGTTTCGGTCCCAGGTCCCGAGCGCCAGAATTGGCGAAACCCTCGGATCTCTCTCCTGCAAGATCTCTTTCCTTCACGACGTCAACCTCCTACCTCCTCCCCCCTTTCGCCCCGCCCGGCCGTGAGACGCGCCTCGGCCATCTTCTCTGCCGCTTGGACCTTCTCGCTTACCAACATCTCGCGCGCGGTGATGTGGCCGTCCACCGCCTCGCAACGCCGCGCCGGGTGCGCCCGGCCGCGGGAAGGAGGGAAGGAGGGGGGGCGCGGGAGGGAGGGGGGGGAGTTTGTTCAGGAGGGGTGGAGTGGTGTGGGCGCCATGACAGTCGGATTTTGTTACAACGCACGTGCACTGAGCTCGTGGAACAACGAGACGACATGCACTGGCACGCGCACGCACTGGACAACGAACTCAACGACAGACCACGGCTGACAAATAATCCTCCAGAACAGAGCGAATGTGAAATCCGCCGATCCTGTCGGCGTGTGTGAGGGGTTTGTCCGTTCAACTCCTCATCTCCGTCATTCGTTGGTCGTAATCTCTGTCGTCCCCTTTCCCTGCCTCCCCCCTCTGTCATTCGTTGGTCGTACTTGAGTCGACGGGCAGCCCCAGGGACCTCCTCAGCGCGCCAGCCAAAGTGAAATTGACCAACGTCGTAATTGAGTCGAAGGGAAGCCCCTTCCCTTCGATCCCTCCCCCGCTGGGGGGGGGGTGAGGGGGGGTCCTGGGGGGGCGAGGGGGGTCAAACGCTCCACCCCCCCGGGGAGTGCCGGAGCCCAAAAAAGCCCCAAGACGGGCCAAGAGTGCCCCAAGAGGCCCCAAAGACAGTCCAAGAGAACCCCGAATCGCCGAACGATCTGTCCAAGACGCTTTGACGGCCTCCAGACGGCCCAAGAGGCCTGCAAAGCGCCCCTAAGAGGCCTCCAAGAGGTTTCTTACGAGAGCCCCAAGAGGGGAAATTCATTGATTTCCCCTACGTGTTTGACAAATTGTGGCATTCTTGCCTCTTCCGCTTCCCGACGCGCCAAGACGGCCCAAGAGGCCCCAAAGATCGCCCCGAGACGGCCAAAGAGGCCCCCAAGAGGGTCCCCTAACGGCCGAAGAGGGCTCCAGGACGGCCCGAGACGCATCCAAGACGGCCCAAGAGGCCCCCAAGACGGCTCCAGGAGAGTGCCCAGACGGGGGACCCGAACGGACATTTCGAGTTCTCAGCTCCAAGAGGCCCTCAAAGAGGCCCCGAAGAAGCCCCAAGAGGCCCCAAGAGGCTCCCAAGGGGCCCCCAAACTGCCCCAAGACAGCCCCCCAAAAAGCCCCAAATTGCCCAGGAGGCCTCCAAGAGTGCCTCGAGACGGCGCAAGAGGAGCCCTGGACGGCCCAAGACGGCCTCAGGAGAGCCACAGGCTGTCCCAAGAAAGCCTCTGGCCTCCTCCTCTTCCTCTTCCTCCTCCTCCTCCTCTTCCTCCTCCTCCTCCTCCTCCTCCTCCTCCTCCTCCTCCTCCTCCTCCTCCTCCTCCTCCTCCCCCCCCTTCTGCTCCCCATCCTCCCGCTCTCCTCTGCCTCTTTCTCCTCCTCTTGCTTCTCCTCCACATCCTTCTCCCCCCTCCTCCTCTCTCATCCACCTCCTCCACCCTGCCCCCCCTCGTTTTCATCTTCGTCGCTCTCAGGGTCGGCAGCAACGGCCGTAAGGCCTTCGCAATATCACGGCCCAACCAGGAAATGTTGCAAGCAACGCGCCGCGCACCTGGAAACCACTACCAAACAACAGACACTGTGAAACGTCACGGCCTACCACTTGGAAACAGCACTTACTAAAGACTCATGACAAACTCTTCACCTTATTGGGCGCATCTCGTGTTCCTCGGCGCTATCCCATACTTGGAAGAAATCTCCAGAGCTTGACCAACATAGGAACATCTCCGCCAGTGAACCAAAGGATGAAAAAGAAACACATACCAGACACCTCCAGAAGCAGGCTTCGGCCGCAATATATACAAATCCAAACCCAGCGCATTGAAAACCGTACTCAACGAATTCGTCCAGTCTCGCCATCCGCCAACTGCTGCAAAGACAAAGCCGCGGCAGGAATCGGAGTTCCCCAGGCGCCACGCGAAGGCACCAAACAGGACCTGGGACCCATCGCGAAACCAAACGCTACGAATAGGACTTGGGCCGAGTGTGTCTGAGTTTGATTGATTAGGAGAAGGAGAGGGATGATGAGGAGGCGCAAGACAAGCACGAGGAGGAAGAGGCCTGGCCTCGTCGTCCTCCCGCCTCGTTCCCCATCTTCCTTCTTATGTGCTGGAGCAACCTTCTATCCGTCCGCCACCGTGCCCCGAGGCACGGGTTAGAGTGTCCTAAGGTCTTTGGGAAAACCACAAGATACCAATACCGGAGAGAGCGTGATCCACCGCCGCTTTACTGTGGAGAATTGCCGCCCTTTTCCTCCGGAACCCGGGGTTCCCCCCCCCACTCTCCCCCCCCGCACCTCCGAAAATCCCCCCCCCTGCTGGAACCCCTCCCCCCCCTTCCCCAAGCAAAACCCCCCCCTCCCCTAACCCCTCCCCCCCCCCCTCGAACTCGAAAACCGGGGGGGGTCACTACCGGTTCGAACCCCTCCCCCCCCCCTCGAAAACCGGAGGGGGGGGTCACTACCGGTTCGAACCATTGAGCTGTCCCACTGTTCCCACCACTGTCCCCCCCACTGTCCCCACCACTGTCCCCACTGTACCTCTGTCCCATTGTCCCACCGCCGTCCTCGCCACCGCCTTCACCGCTGTCCCCACCACCACTGTACCCTCCACTGTCTTACTGTTTCCACCACGTTCCCACTGTCCCCACACCACTGTCCCCATCACCACCGTCCCCGCCACTGTCCCACTGTCCCCACTGTTCCCACCATTGTCCTCCCCATTGTCCCCACAACTACCGTCCCCACCACTGTCCCACTGTCCCCACCACTGTCCCGCTGTCCCCTCACCACTGTCCCCACCACCACCGTCCCCACCTCTGTCCGCACCCCCCCTCGGTTTTCGAGGGGGGGGGGGTCGAACCGGTAGTGACCTCCCCCGGTTTTCGAGTTCGAGGGGGGGGGGGGGTTCGAACCGGTAGTGACCCCCCCCCTTTTCATGAAGAACTGGGGGGGGGGAGGGGTTCGAACCGGTAGTGGATCCCCCCCCGGTTTTCCGCCAGCAGCGGTAGAACACGCTCTTTCCAATACCGCCACTCCCTGGACCTCTCCCAGGGCGCATCCCGACCAGAGCTTCGAGGCGATCCAGCCGTGGCGACGAAGGCCTCCCGGGAGGCCCAAACAAGCATAAACGAGGTAAGTGTAGCGGTGTCGGCACCCTTCCGGCGGCGAACCTAAGGGGGCGAAAATTTGAGTTCGGCGGCGAACCTGAGGGGAAGTAGGGGGCAGGCCCTCGCAGAAGACGGCGGGGCTTCTCAGCATCCCTCGCGCCTTCTGAGGAGTCTTCGAAACCTCCTCCGAAGACACTCCATGCCTCAATCTTTGAAGATGCCGCTGCCGCTACAGTTGCCCTGTTTCCGCCTCTTTGGGCCTCCCGGGAGGCTCTCGTCGCCACGATCGGATTCGTCTCGAAGCCCTGGTCGGGATGCGCCCCCGGCTCGCCGCCGATGGGTCCTCTGCGCGCGCTGCGCGCGGGGCCCGAGGGCTCGGTGCTGGCGCTGGCGGTGCACCCGGCGCCTGACGCGCGGCCGCGGCGCCCTGCGCCGCCGCCGCCTCGAGGCCGGTGCGCGCTGCTCGGGAGGTCAGCGCGCGGGTGCGTGGCGCCCGGACCTGGTTGGAGCCTGGTTGGGGCCTCTATAGGGGGCCTCCTGGAGACTCTGGGGGGACCCCTCGGGGTCCCGCTGGCGGTCTCGGGGGCCATTCTGGGGCAAAGGGCTCGACATGCCAATTCGTGCTGCGGGCCTCTCGGGCCGTCTCGGTGTCATCTTATGCCGTCTGGGGAGCACGATGCGCAACAGCAAGCGCTGTCTAAAACCGAAAGCGGCGGCCGCTGTCGGAAAAACTGCACAAACATACAGCTTTCGGAGATCCGCGCGGATGCCTTGGATCGGCGCTCGTCGGCGCTCGAACCCACCCCCCTCCCCGACGCGCGGAGCGCGCCAGGGGCGGCGCCAGAGGCGCCGCTAGGGGGGTGAATCGCAGATCCAAGAAATCTGCGCGGACCTCCCCATGTTTGTGTCTACGCAATGTTTTCGCCTTCGATGCCGCGCAGGCGGCATCCTGTCTCGAACGGACAACGTCCGCGGCGATACCGACAGCGAGTCCTGCTCAGGATGGACAGGAACTGCGGTCGAGGCGGCATCCTGTCTCGAACGGACAACGTCCGCGGCGACACCGACAGCGAGTCCTGCTCTGCGGTCGAGGCGGCATCCTGTCTCGAACGGACAACGTCCGCGGCGACACCGACAGCGAGTCCTGCTCAGGATGGGCAGGAAATGCGGTCGAGGCAGCATCCTGTCGCGAACGGACAACGTCCGCGGCGACACCGACAGCGAGTCCTGCGGAGGATGAACGCTAAATGCGGTCGAGGCGGCATCCTTTCTCGAACGGACAACAGTCGCGGCGACACCGACAGCGAGTCCTGCTCAGGATGGACAGGGAATGCGGTCGAGGGGGCACCCTGTCTCGAACGGACAACGTCCGCGGCGACACCGACAGCGAGTCCTGCTCAGGATGGACAGGAAATCAGGTCGAGGCGGCATCCTGTCTCGAACGGACAACGTCCGCGGCGACACCGACAGCGAGTCCTGCTCAGGATGGGCAGGAAATGCGGTCGAGGCAGCATCCTGTCTCGAACGGACGACGTCCGCGGCGGCACCGACAGCGAGTCCTGCTCAGGATGGACAGGAAATGCAGTCGAGGCGGCATCCTGTCTCGAACGGACAACGTCCGCGGCGGCGCCGACAGCGAGTCCTGCTCAGGATGGACAGAAACTGCGGTCGAGGCGGCATTCTATCTCGAACGGACAACGTCCGCGGCGGCACCGACAGCGAGTCCTGCTCAGGATGGACAGGAAATGCGGTCGAGGCGGCATCCTTTCTCGAACGGGCAACGTCCGCGGCGACACCGACAGCGAGTCCTGCTCAGGATGGGCAGGAAATGCGCTCGAGGCGGCGTCCTGTCTCGAACGGACAGCGTCCGCGGCGACACCGACAGCGAGCCCTGCTCAGGATGGACAGGAAA